GAAATAACTTGGCGTCATCGGCAAACATTTGTATGGAGGAGTGTACAACGTCAGGCATGTCATTTATGAAACAAACAAACAACAGCGGGCCCAATACACTGCCCTGTGGTACCCCGCTTGTGACAGGTACGGATGATGATTTCGTGCGGTCATGTAGAAAGTCTTCTATCCACGCTAGGACATTTCCCCGAATTCCGTACCCTTCCAGTTTGATTTTCAGCCTTTCGTGGGGTACACTGTCGAAAGCCTTGGCAAAATCTAGGTAAATATTGTCGATATTACCACCCCGTTCCAGAATATGGGTCCAAATATCCAATACCTTGAGAAATTGTGTTAGGCAGGAGCGCCCCGGCATAAAACCGTGTTGGCATTCCTTTACAAGGTTGTTTCGTAGTAGATGTTCCATCGCGGCATCTCTGATAATACTCTCAAGTCAGGCTCACTGGTCTATAGTTATTCGTGGAGTGACGATTGCCCTTCTTGAAGATAGGACTCACATAAGCCACTTTCCATTCACTGGGGACCTTTCGTTCATCCAGGCATTTACAAAACAGGATCTTCAGGGGCTCAGCAAGCTCGTTGCTCAACTCTCTTAGCACTCTAGGATGCACCCTGTCAGGGCCGGGACTCTTATGGACCTTTAGCTTTGACAGTTTATTTCTAATACCCTCTTCTGTGAACACAATGTGGGTCAGTGCTGTGTCGAACCGGCTGGTGGCCCAAGAGCCTCCATGTTAACATAGAACAAGACCCACTTTACACATATATGTGAACAAATAACACCACCACTTAACAAACGTAAATTAACACCCATTACACTAATGAATGCCTAGCTAGCTTAGCTTCCCCTCCACCTGCCTCCCTTGAGCGGGCAGGCGTCTGCTGTGTGTGGCCACCACCCCAACATATCAACTCGTCTCAGCTAGGTGGAGAGCCCACCTGCTCTCACCCCCTACTACTTTACTTCCCGTTTCTATGCTTTCCTTCTCTCATTCCTCTCCTCTCCCAGGGCAAAGTCATTTGCCACTTTACTTCATTATCATCATCATCATCATCATCATCATCATGAAGGTCAGACAACACCACGCTCTTAAGCAGAGAAGACCTCCTCTAAAGAAGCTCCCCACAGCAGCAACTTCCTAGTACCAGACTGTTCTGTACATATAATATACAGTATATATAGAAAACGCCATTGTGAGTTTCCTTTCTCACCTCCGTCCTTGGTGCGAGATCTCCTACATGTACATATGCATGTGAGCCTAACAAAGAGAAAATAGACAAACACAAAGAGTAATTAGACAACTGACCACATACACTACGCTACAGTATAACCTTGGTCAGTTAATTTATTATTGTATATGCACTGTAACTTAATCAGCATCATCAGGTGGCAGATAGTAGAATATCTTCCAACAAGATAATTGTGTTCACAGTGGTGCTCGTGAGCTTGTGGAGCTCAACTAGTCTAACTACTGTACTGTACACTATCCCATCCTAGACTATATAAAAACATAAAATTTGCATTGCTTCATAGCATCAGTAGAGGGATACTTACAGTAGGTAATTATTAACGAGGTTACACTGATCATAAACTATAATTTTAAATATTTCAACTTATTTTGCTTAATTTTTGAGCCAATGTTATTTATGGGTGTGAAGCATGGGCTCAGGATGCAAGAGGAAGAAAAAACTGAAATTACTGAAGTGATGTGCTTGAGAGCAGCATGTGGGGTAAACAGTATGCAGAGAATACTGTACATAAGTACGGAGGAGAAATGCAAGCGAACGAAGGGATGGACAGAGAATGGATCAGAGTTCGCTCGGGTAGTATTGGTAATTGGGAGAATGGGAAATGATAGATTGATATAAACAATACAATATATAATACAGAGGTGTATGGTAGAAGTGAGGGAGACTGGCATCGAGAAAAGCAACAGTATGCGTTAATGGGTGGAAGCAAGGACTAGGGTGGAAGGTCCTGATGGGTGATGTTAGCTTATGTGAAGTGGCAAGGGTAAACTAGATTTTGGGGATTGTTGTGGCAGAGGAGTACTATACTATAGCAAAACACATGAACTGCAGCAGTATGAATGAATGGACTAATGAAGGACAAATGTGTATTTGCGTTCATTTCTGACCATCCTCCAGTGATCTTGGAAAAAAGGCTTGAATGAGAATATCTGTTTGAGGTGAGTTATCATCGTCCACAGGAACATAACAATACAGATTCATCGTTAGAAAAGAACGTGACTAGATTCATATTACTATTACAGAAAATGACAAGCATCAACAACCTCGTTATGGCAGTGGGACGTTTCGTGCTCAAGATGTTTCATATATATATATATATATATATATATATATATATATATATATATATATATATATATATATATATATATATATATATATACAAAAACTTAAGAACATTACATATTGTTTACTGGGGAGCAGCACCTGTGAACCCCTAGTCACACCTATTTCCATCAAGGATAGTGAGGTTTCGTCATATGTGACTCATGACTTACAAGAGATATTGTATACTTCAACTGAGTGTGCCCACCGGACCCTCCCGTGTCACTCTTGACATTGACTCATACTTGGTGACACAATTGATTCAGGGTTTGTGAAAGACGAAATGTAAGATGCTTGGAATGCAGCATACCCGGATATTACACTGCGAATAATGAAAGATTTGCAGTAAATATTGTTCAATAATATATAATCACATTAGGTTAGGTTTGGTTGGTTGGGTTATATGCAGTCCTACATGATATTACGGTCTTAACCTTTGCATTTTGAGCGGTACTGTTTTACACTGACGGGTCATGATGATGAGGAAAAATCTAAATTACTATCGTGAGTGTACAACCATTTTCATTGTATTATGAAGGGCCACGGAAATATAATCTAAATTATCTAAGTAAGAAAATATAATTTGTTTCAGGTTATATTAACAGACCGCTGAACTGCAATATTATCGAATAGTCAAGGTGTGAACCCAGATAATCTGGGTACAGGAGAGTCTGAAATTTAAAGATATAAAATAGATGGCTGCCATTGCCAAAATGTCCTGAAAATTACACCTGATTTCTACTGTCATAAAATACATCCCCTCATGTACAGTCCTTGATTCCCATGAGTATTAGTTATGTCTGGTGTACAGTATAAGGTTAAATTTTCTCTGTAATACTGCACAGGTGTCTACAAAGTCCTGTTCCGGTTTTAAAACGATTACACCAATCAGTAAAAATATATAATTATACATTTTTGGGAGGCATATCATTGTTGATACAATGATTTTTTTCTTTTCTTTATCTGCAGTTTGTAATTTGAGTGTTCGGTTATTAACGATTGAAGGTTGAATGAAGATGGCGACTACACAGGATACAGCTCAGTATGTCCTCTGTTTTTTCAGCGGAATTACCGTCGTCAATATGATAAGGATCTTCCCTCCAAACCCAGCATTAGGAGGTGGTTTCACAAGTTTCAGGAGACAGGAAGTGACAACTCGAAGTTGACCCTAGAAAATTTATTCGCCGTACTTCAAGTGAACTGCAGCTACTTGTACCAAGATCAACGGTACACAAAGTAGCACACAATACTGTAGATTGCACTAGTACGCGTATAAAGCGCAAATAGTCCAAGTTTTCCTACCTGATGATAAGTCTCGGCGCTGTGTTGACATATTGCATGCTGGACTCTACTGATGAGAGTAACGAGTATACAATATACGTAAAAGGATGTTCTCTGGTGAAGTCACATCTCACGTGTCTTGTCGAGTAAATCCTCATGATGTGCGAAAATAGAGGACTGAAAACTCACATGAGTTTCGTAAACTTAATATTTGGTGTCTATCTTGAATGTTGGACATGACGTGATCCTACCAGTTGGAAGAGTTCCAACCATTCGTTCTTTTTTAGCATGTTAAGAAGAACTCTTCAGACCCAAGATGCTGATAGCGGAAATCTTCGTACAAGGTTAACCGATGGCAAGAGTGAAGAAATAAATATTGGCCAGCACGTAGACAATGAGGAGTATCAGTAAGATCTGCCGCGATCCACTAACTGCACACATGTTAAGGTGCACTGAAGAAAAAACAAACATTATTCTAACTATTTTCGTTTTGTTGTAATAAACTCTTAAGACTCGAACAGGACTTTGTCATGTACAGACGTATTACAACAGACATTCTTGATTGTCGATATTCTGAAGATTCATATTAGTTTCTATTGTCGGAAATTCCAGATCAATCGTTAACATATGAATTGCTGTACGAGTACTTTGATATTTCAGTTGAACAGTTTAAAAACTGTGAATATGAAACCAGTTGTAACTTAGTGGGCAACTCGGCACAAACGATGAGGCGTGTAAGTACAGTACGTAAATCTATGGCTCAATTTGGGCTCTCCAAGGTACAAGGTCTTTTTTTTTTTTCGAACGGGTTGTTAATATCGACAATATATACCTAGATTTTACCAAGGCTTTCGACTGCAGGTGGCTGGGGGCCCCGAGCGAGGCTAGAGGCTGACGTACTCCGCCAGGAATCACACGTTCGAAGGTACCATCCAGTTTCAAAACTTACGAAGTGCCCAAGACCTCTGTCACGTCTCTGATGGCTGCTATACAGCGAATATGGCAGTACCTTAATAGTGTGTGTGTGTTAGATATTAGGTGCGCTATGTTGACTTAAAAGATATCTCTAATATGTTATATCGCGTTTTAGTGTAGTTTGCAGCCATAAGGATCGAGAAGCAGCTGTGATAAGGTTTTGTTATCAATACATCGTAGTTAAGGCGCATGACGGTGCACATTAACCTCGTGGTTTCTGTAAAATATTTAAAATTAGTATTTCTGTACACGAAGCTAATTTCCTATCGCTTTCTCACACATAACAATTAAAGTTAATATATCCGTCTCTAGGAAAATCGTTGCATCATTTATAAAGTACGTGTTGTTACCTAGCCTGTACTAGTCCCCGTTGATAAGATAACTCGATAAGTGAGAGGGAACAACAGTAACGTTCACCACTACTTTGCCTCACTCAAGTGCACGGTCTTCGCCAACCCGCGCGCCAGTGTATTTATCGACTAGCTTACCACATTGCAGCCTAGGACCATGGACGCCAGGATAGGGTGAAGGAGGAGAGGAAGACGCTAACAATTTAAAGAAAAGAAAAGTGTTTGTTTGTTTGTTTGTTTGCGAGGGATATAAATTAAACCGTAACTGGGGAAATTTGTGAGACTCCAAGGGGGTTGTAAGTTCTTCTGGTGGACTTGTGAGACTTTTTGAGTGGCGGCGGGTGGTTACTGGAGTGCCAGAAAGTAAGGTGCCTCAGGGCGGTGCTGGAAGATGTGGTGGAAATGGACCTTGGCGTTGGCACTGCTGCTGGCAATGTTTGCCGTGGCGCGGGCGGACGAGGACAAGAAACAAGACAAAGTCGATGAAGTCGAGTTACAACGGCAAGAAAAACTTGCAAAGGTCGCCAAGATTTTAGAAAAGGAGGGAAAGTATGGTAAGTGTTCACACAGCACTCCACAGGGCTGCCAACATAGTGTAATAGAAAGTATGATAGGTTCTAACAGTGTTTAACAGGGCTGCCAATTTGAGGGAAGTATGGTAAGTGCTCACACTGTGCTTCCTTAGGCTACCAACACGAGGGAAAGTATTGAAGGTTCCCACATCGTTCCCCAAAGGCAGCTAAATTGAAAATAAGTATTACAGGTGCCCACACACTACTCCTCAGGGCTGCCAACATGAAGGTGAGTATAGTAGCTGTTTAAAAAATGCCCCACAGGGCTGCCAACATGATGGCAAAGGATAGGGAGTATGGTAAATATTCCATAATGGTTTAATATACGAGATATCCACTACCTATACGCAAAGGTAATTATTTGACACACTTCTTACAGTGTTCAGCTATATCGGGAGGGTTAATGACTGCAGGAAAAAACAACGTCGCTAAATGTTCATAAGGGGGGGGGGTGAGAAATGCTTAAGTTAACGGTATCCCGACCCAAGACTGTAAACAGGAGTATAAGGAGACTACGGTAGGTACTCTGTCACCAATTGTCAGACAAAAGATATGGGGAAGATGGAAGCTCCCGATACAACGCTCCCAAGATTAACAGATTCCGACAATTTAAACTCTGGAAATTGGACTGTCTCAATTAAGTGTTTAATTCTTAAAAGTATGAAGTATGTGCCCAGGGATATTACTGTAACTAATAAAATAGTTATGAAGTATGAACAGCAATAGAAAGGCAAAGGTACTAAGAGATTTGACACTTGAATGTCTGTTCCACGAAATTTCTGGACTAAGAGAGTATTGGTTAAGATAGGTCACTCAGTTACTCATGCCGCATTAAGTAATTACAAGCTATATTCATGGCAAGATGGATAATTATGTAAGATAGATACAGAGAGCATTCTCAATAGTATAAAAAACTACAGATCATTATCATGACTGCTTATGGAGACTATCCCACAGGGCACTAGTCATGCATTCATGTACCACTAGACAATGTCACCCTATGAGATAAATACAGTGAAATGAAACAAGACAATGTCTATTTTACAGTAAAATATTAATAATATAAAACTATAATTAGTATTCAGTTAACTATTAGATCTCCGAGTACACCTTCATGTTCACATCTACAGTATTTGTTCGCTCTACGTATGTACAGTATGTCAACGGGTAGGGTCATCAACTACAACAAACGTACTTATTGTTTTTAATTTAGATTGAGGTGCTTCAACTCCCAGGGTTATTAAGAACTCTGCTTAAGTATTATTTATTTTTACTACAAACAACTTAAAAAATCGGTCGGTACACTTACATGTTGTATTAATGTAATCAGGCTTTCAACGGCCAGGATCGTTTAAGCACAGGACACCTTAGTTTTAGTTTCTGCACTAGAGAGCAACTTTTAAAAATCGAGGGCGCTAGGCTTATGGTGTGTGTGTCTGCATCTTGGGATATTAAGTTTAGCTACACTCAGACGATGAACCTACGTAAACAAAATGAAGGGAGCCTGTGTCAAACATTATACATTAATATTAATTCAACCTCGAAGTTAAATATAAAACGGCTATACAACATTACATAGCATCAGTGCACATATCTCTCTTGCAAGGGAGATTCATCAAAAGGTCATTACTGTACCAGATATCTTCATATTACTAGTGACGGTATACTGAACGAACTAGCCAGAGAGGATAAAGTAGAAATATCACTCGCCTCTTAATATCCTTGAAAAATTATATCATCAATCAGTCAATGTCTTAGTGATACTGGCGAAGGGCAGGGGTACACAGACAAGATAAAGCTGATATTACACGAACCTTTCTGCGTCACTCATGTCATTATTATCTAGAAAGTGATGGCTTAAGCTGCCATCTTTCAGGGATTGAAACGTCCTCAAAGGGGTACACCATCGTCACAAAATAATTAAACCACAATATCCTCAAGGTGTCAAAGCCTCATCCTCTTGACCCATCATCCTCAAAGGGTTAACAAGTACAAATGCTGTCAACCACTGCTTGGCTGACCAGTGAACAATGTTGATGACGCAGACTATATACTTTTACCGGAGCGTTTATAGAATCTCACAGTTAATCTGACCCGAATAACCAAGCGTACGGTGATCCAAATAACCTAAATGGATCTATTCTAACACATATAACCTTACCTTATCCACAACCTAACCTACCCAGACCCAAAATAACCTTGCCTTACTCCAAATGACTGTACTTGACCCAAATAACCTTACCTTACCCAAATGACCTAACCTAACCAGCCCCAAAGGATCAAATAATATTACCGATATCCACACATACAATTTCAAAAATGTTTATCATCAAAACACTACTCTTAACCCTTTTACTAACGCAAGACGATTTGTTTCCAGCTCAGAGGCGACCCCGTACACAAGGGGTTAATAGATTATCTCCACTAAGATGTAAATTTTTAAGGAAAAAATCGATTTATGCGTAGAATACACTTGTTACATCAACAAGTTAATACATGACAGCATTTGCTCTTGGTTTAGGCTACGGTAATTATGAAGATCAGTATCACGGTGGATTATACCTATTAGAGGTTGGTTTTTTTTAACCAATATTGCATAAGAAATTTTGGATTTTCTACATTTCCTTCCAAATAAAAATCGTAGATATATTCAGGAACCAGTGCATGCCCACTGCCCAGTACTTGCCAACAGTGCCTAACAGAGACGTGATCGACAGCCCAAGTGGATAACGAGCCGATCAGTGGCGAAAAGGATAAAAGTAAAAAGTAATGATATCGCAGCCACCAGGGTGGAAATGGACCACGTTGTTGATCTTAAGTAATCTGTTTACTGCATAATAGTGGGAAAGTGCATCAGAGTAGAAAAACTTATTGGGTATAATGAAAACAAAATTATTCCTCTGCCTCCATTTCCTTGTTAACAAAATATTATCATACACACAAAATATTACAGTAAAATCGTCCAGAAATTTGGGTTTGTGGACTGTTGATCTGACGAGCGAGTCAGGATGATGAAGAGCTATCACTACACCTGCTCCCCTGGTCAAGGTGCGGTGTTCCTGCTTCTGTTCGGCATGTTCAATGCGAGAAAAGAACCACGAACAAATCCTCAGACCATGTATTTACCTATTAATGACAGTAGATGGCAAGAACCAACCGATACCGAACCTAAGCTAACTTAGTCAAAACTACACTAGAGTTAAATTTTATTGATTTATGTCGTATCCAAAATGCGTTTCGCTTGTGGAACTTTTCATCATTATAAATTTTGCCCTTAGGAGTGGCATTCTAGTCTGTTGGTGCCATTGTAAAAGAAAGAAAACTTTAATACAATGCAATGATAGACAGAATGTGGTCCACCACCAAGAATGTCTTTCATGTTTACTTATCTAGAACACGTCCTTTGTATTTATCTAACGCCCCCAAAAAAAAACTATCCACGCTTACATGTTAATTACTGGTATAAGTAAGCGTTTCCATTGCAAGGGTCTATGAGAACCGCTAAGAAACCCATTCGTTCTTGTTGATCAAGAGAACTTGTCCTTCAGGCGTATTTGTCGAGAAACTTATCCTGCTGGTTTATGTGAGGTACAATATTATCAACTAATGTTTCTAAATGTGATGTTCGACCCCGCCAATGTTTTAAAGACCAATAAAGGCCACAACTCCGACAAAAAAAAGTTGGAAAACTAATAAATCGACTCCTGTCAAGATATTTCTGACGCGAAAAAAAAAATCATTAAGATCAGCAAAGCCTTTTTATGGTGAGGGCCTAATAAGACTATGTTCCTTTAGGCTTGTACCTAAATAACTCGCTTATATAATGATGTCATTACTATAGCGCGTTTTTTCCCAGCTGAGAAAAAAAAGCACTATAACTCTTCGAAGGCTTATCGCCACCATTCATATACAAAATTAAATAAAAATAAATCCCTAGGCCGTTTTCTTTACAGCTCTTGATACATCATTGATAATTTGTCATACGAAACCAGTAGAGGATCTTCATCGATAGGTTTTTTTTTTACCCGAAACATCCGAAATTAATTAACCATAAAAACAGATTTGTAGTTATTTTTATTTTCCCGTTCATCAACTGCCAGGGTTATTAGTACTATCTACATGTATTAGTGTCTACAACAAACAACACGTAAGAAATAAAAAAGTTCCATTAATTATTCATTAAATAGTAGGCGAGGCTTATCGTTGTCTTAGTGAGCGCGTAGCGTTCCCAGCCCGATGGTGTATATGGTGTTATCTTTGTTGTCGCGTTATCAGTGAGTATCTCGCAGGTGACAGTGATCCTTCCCACCGGCGCACATACGCACACACACAACTATTACCCAGAACACACACAAAATTATATGCAACCGCAATTATGCCGAACAGTGTCTACAAGCCTTTCGCACCGAGGAAAGCAGCGTTGGCTGGTGTTTAAATAACACTTCAAAAAATAATGAAAGCTCATTTGTTGAACTTCGTTACAATAAGTATATATGAGATTTTATTAAATATTTCATTAAAATTATTAAAATTTGTTGCATCACACTAGCATGCAAATTGCACATCTGACATACTGTACTAAGTGAGGTCACGATGATAAGTTTTATTAGGCACATTGAACGACTTCTGAAATGTATATACAAATAGCGTAGAAACTAAAAGAAACACACCCATGGCAACACCCAACTTCGATCATGTTGAGGTTGAAAAAAAATTCGAGGCGAGTTGGACGTGGGAGTGAGGGAACACTAGGCTTGAGCCCCTTAGGTTATCGCTGTAATCATCCGTTGATAGCGATAAGATAACTAGTCCTAAGTGGTGCTCTGACTCACATATGATTTCCGTTACACCTATTTGAATTTCAAGCTCACCAGTCACCATGTTTAAGTAAAAAAAAAAATTTGCATTATAAATAAAAACATCGTTTCGCTGGCCACTGACAGTTTAACTGTACTGTATTTGCCCCGGAGAAGGTAGAAAGGACCTGTTATTTCCAGTTATTGGCAGGCCACTTTTTACCTTCGTTCTACAGTATATATGGTCTCCCTTATATTTTGAACGACTCTATCCTGCATTAGAGGGGATTCAGAAATATTCAACTTCTCTCTAAGTTCAGCTTAAGTGTCATAAATTTCAATCCTCATAATAAAAACGTATTTACGTACCCAAAAATCATTTTTTTATGTAAATCTAATAGCTAAGCACAAGTGTGATATCACCAGAGGAAATAACCAGTAACACCATTGTCATAAATCGCATTTTATAATTTAAAACCCCATTAAAGGCAACTTATACAGCTCTACATTAAGAACAGCCATTCAAATAATGTAACCAATAGTAACTAATTCATTTGTTTTAAAATAAAAACAAATTTCAGTCGAATGAAAGGTGTACTGTATTGGTTAATTGAATATTCAGACAGTGCGAGTTGGCCCAAATATGTAGCCAGGGTTATCAACACCCCAGGTACAGCAACCTATTTGTCTGCTTTTCGACTTTCTTACCACACCCCGGCAAGACACTGCCCGGCTTTACTTTCTGCAATACAACGTCTGACAGGCTTACGCTATACTAACTTGGTAATTTACGTTGAAGTAATTTTCATTCTCTGCTAGGTACACCTTGTAAACACATTGATAGTCTGATAGTCTACTACATGTTTTATGCATGTCAATCGTTCTCAGCGCCAGAAAACTCAAATTGGCGCCGAATTCAACCCCTATATTACATTAAGAAACTTTACTGTTATTTTTCTATTTTATAATGTATGTTTAATAAAAAATTAAACCTACTGCCTAATATTTTCATTCAAAGACTAATTCAGAAAGTGCTCATTGAAAACCCAAATAGACAAGAACTGGGTCAAGATTCTTGAAGATTCACACGTTAACTTTTCCTCTTAACTGGAAATATAAAAAAAAAAGTATTTATCGAGCTTACTCAAAGTTAAGCACAAAATTACGGTAACTTCCAAAATGGCAACAGATTTAGAGGTTCTTACGTTAACTTGGTACTGTTGTTTAATCGTAAGGAAGGACTCATATCATCCTATCTAAGAGTTTGAGTTATCGTACTTGTTTCTTTAATCAATGGCACTTAATGTTTTGCTTATATATTCGATGATTAAATTTCATTATACGTGTTAGTGGACAGTGTTCATAAGAATGAAAAATCAATGTTAGAAGATCAGTTGTTATAATGGCTTACTGCACCTCAACAATTAAGTTTTTTGGGCGCGTATTCTTCGTACATACACTACCATCCACAACCAGAAATCAAGATACATGTCCGATTAAGGGGTTCAGTGTTCAAAGTTGGCCTTGTATTATAACCAGATTGTGAAAAGATGATTCTATGGGTGGGTTAAGTAGTGTAATTTGTTGCTCGGGTCAAAATCGTCATACGTGGCGTGGCAAGCTGAGTCAAGAATATAACTTGGAAATTGTAATGATAATGTTATCTTTATTAGCCCCGCCTACACTCAGATACGCGAAGCTTGCACTACGCCTTTCTGCTGACGGTACTGAACTGGTGTTATGATAACACTGACTTTGCTATAATATGGGTATAACTACGACTAATAATATAAAAGGATATTAGTCTATATATACATCATAACAAAATGTTGACAACACGACCAGTTAACGTGGATACCTGTTGGTACTGTATATAAATGCTGAATTATGAATTGAGACATGAATAAGGCTTATGGCAGTGAGCACACAATGAAGACATGTTTAGGCTTGGTGTATTATGAGTAAAGTGACTGGGCTTGTTGGTTAAGAACACTAAAGGTAGGATTCCATTCACGCGTTAGCGCCAAAAATAGATCATATTGAAATGTACACGGTTGTTACCACTAGCACGGTTGAGTTAGCGTGATGCGTTTGTAGTACATTTCAATCGGTCCTGTAACGATTGAAAACGCAACTGCATGGAAGCGGACGAGGGAATCCCACTGTGACGTCACTAGTTCCTGTTTCATATACATGCCCTCTTTACCCAGGAAAATATTCTTTGAATTTTTCTTCATCCAAACTTAGCTCTTTTACCAAAGTATTGTAGGCTCCATATTTGGACCGATTCAGCAGCAATTTATGCATCCACCATCTATGTTTCTTTGACCGTTTTCCCTTAGCATCACGCATGATCTTATACAAAACCAGGATAATTAATAGTAAATCATCCTGTTCATATAAATAGCGTCGTAGCTTCGATGCACCGGAAGCCATCTTTCCTGTCCTGTTCCCGCTAAGACAGAATATGCAACTGCAAATGGAAATGGGAGTCCGTTTTCCAAGGCAATTTAACGCAAAAGCATACTTCAAACGCATACCACAAATGCATATACGGAATCCTTGCTTAAGGCTTAATTTGTTAATCTTAGCATAGCAAGATCACATCGGCGCATCATCTCTTAAAAAAATAACAGTGCATAGTTTGATTTTTAGTGTTCAGGAGGTAGAATCTTTCCGGGGATTTCAATGCAGTCAGAAGTGATCTACTGTGCTCTAACTGGCAGTGTGTGACTGGGAGCGTAAGGATTTGCCGATGGTTTTATTTATAAAAAACTGATAAGCAGTTTTATTTTTTAACTAAATTAACCCTATTTTGAACAGCGTTAGCCTACACGTTGAACTAGTGTATTCAAGTGCAAGACCACCAAGAGTCAGTAAAATCGATGCATTTCTGAAATACATCTTATGTTAAATAAATGCACCTACTGTACAACTAAAGCATAATAGAAATTACCGATAATAATCACACGACACCTATAGTTTAGTGTCGTGCTCCCCCCTTCCCCTCCAAAAAAATTGAGGTGAAATCTGGAATCCTTTTATATAGCCCTATTTTTATTATTATTAAACTATCGAAAACTTGAAATAAAGGATATGACCCAGTCTCACCGAGTATAATGAAAAAAATACAGTACTGCAATTAAAAACTAGAAAGGATTGAACAAACTTAAAAATCACCTTTGAACAGAATGTGCTACAATCTTCAGATAAAATTTTTGTTTTATTGGAAAAATAAAGTGTTCATTCTATTATAAGTTTCAGCTCCATATTCTTATGGTTTATTTACTGGTCCAGAAATTAATTCAGTGAATGACCTAATCTAACACATGCATTAATGAATCGCTAAGACAAACTAGTTCCTATCTTATTCCCTTACACGCCAAACTTTGCAAGTCATAGCTTGTAGTGTTGGATGCTCTTGTCTTGTTCAGTCAGTCTCCATTTATCAGTTAACCATATATTAATATTTTAATAATTTGTTTGTTATCATCATTTGCTATTTGGTCTCTTTAGTTTCCAGTTTCTTATGTCCTGCCACAACCCTAAAATTGCATTGCCATTTAATGCCAGTCTTAAATTATAACATTCATATTTCTTGCCCACGTCCGATGTTTCGATTTTTTACATAATCTTAAGTAGTTATCCCTATTTATTGCGTCTTAAGCTGCAATTACTATTAACTTGCCAGTTTTAAGTTGCAACAGAATTCTCGCATCAATCTTAAATTGTCTTCATTTGCCTGATATAAGTTATATGACCACACACTCCTTCCTCCTAATCTAATACATCACCCTAACTTTACCTTCTTTCCTCCGCCAGATCCGATGCGTTCCAGAGTAGCGCCGCCAGATTTTATACCATCGTCAGGAAGCAGCAGTAGAGCCAAACGTGATTTAGGTTCGTAATGCTTCATCTTCCATGTTTCCCCTTCATTCATATCCTTACTTGTAACATTTTATTTTTACACATTAATTTTATTAATAATTTTGTATAATTTGAATGTATATAATTTGTATTTTTTAAATTAAATCTACGTTCTCAAAAACGGCCTAACGTTTGCTTTATTTTGCCTTGCCTCTTAAGCAAGGTAATTCAAACTACAAGTATATAACTTGGCAAGCAAACTTTGTGCTATTAAGCGTCTCATCTCCCTGCCATTCCCCTCACAATAACATGATCCTCATTAACTAACTATACACCAAGACCTAGAACTCTTGTACAGTATGTTGGTAAGTTAAATTTTCCTTTTAATTGGAGATTGAGAATATACTTTAAGTGGCTGACTTCAAACTAAACCATTACGAGGGTGTATTAAGGCGTTATCTTGCCTAGGTGTGCTTTTAACTCCAGCTAAGGGAAAAGTTAAAGCACAGAATCTTTATAAATCCACATCTGACCATCTTTCAAAGCCTGCCATCATCACCCTATGCAGATCCAATGATGTCCCGGATGGCGCCGCGTCAGTACGGTAAGGAGAATGCCCCTTACGTCATCAGTGCAGAACGCCTGGCAACGATCCGCGCCGAACTCACGTACCCGTTTTTCGACACGGACATCTACGGCGGCACTGGCGATCTAGAGACGAACGTCAACTCACAGAACACCCAGGTCAACAAGCAGCTCACCTTCCTCCTGCCTTTCTTCGGCTTCGGGCTCAACTACACCTGGGTGAGTGAAGCTTTTTTGGGGGGGGCGGGAGGGGATACTAATATGTGGGTATAGAAAATTTTCTTCAGGAAGGATATTGACCTAAACCTACCTTATCTTACTAATACAGGTATTAACACACACACACACACACACACACACACACACACACACACAATAATTTGTTAGGTACGAAATTTGACTGGTCTTACTGAAGCGGCCAACATTTAATATTTCCCATTTTTTTACATTATTACTTCGCGTGGTAATTATCAAGATGATCGACGCCATTTTAACTATCAGACTTTCATGGTTCTTGCAATCATCGAGTTCGTACAAAAAATTGAGGAGGGGGGGCAGAAAAAAGTTTTAATGGGTTTTAATACCGGTTGAAATATTATAAAAGACTACTGTCATAGTCATTAAATAAGTTAAGAATCACTACAGTACTGGGCGTTTTATGCTTAGCCCATACCATCCGTGTATCAAAATATTTAGTGTTTCTTAACAAAACTCGGGTGAGAAGACCTTCGGGAGGGTATCATCACACTGGGCAAAATTTTATCATTCCCCAGAAGATAGCGATACCATCATACCCAAGTCAAGAGTTTCCGCAGGAAAACGGCATGCTTTCTGATTCAACTCAAGCTATTATAATATTTAATGTTGAATTGTAACGGTAAAATTATAAATTTATAAAAAAACAATTTTATTAAAAAAAAAAATTATTGGTACCAGCGAAAAGCTCACCCTTGTACTATATTTAAAGTCATTTGACATTTGTTTCATGCACACCACACACAACCATGAATTGTGAAGCTACCTGATTTTTTTGCTGGTAAGAGATGCTGAAGCCACTCCCGTTTTCTCACTCCTGACTTCTTCATCTACATGAATAGCAAATGAATTCTGACTGCTTTTCTCGCGAAACATGGCAGATACCAACTGGACGTGTAACCATTTTTATTGTAATTTTGATATGAGCGACGGCGGAATGAGAACGAGGTGGTAAATGCTAGTGTGATTTGGACTGAGGTATTTTGACGCAGGACTGAAAAACTGCAGAAATTTTGCTCAGTGTTATAAGTTGATACACCCCACAAATCGTGGTAAATGTTACTTTTAGTCCTATAATCTTCTAGCGACTCAAAAATATATTTTCCCTTTGTATTTTACTATGTTTTGGATGAATTTGACCTTCGAAACTGTCGCAACTCAACATTTTTTTAGTTATGACTCCCCCTACCCCAACAATAATGGGGGAACCCGTGGGAACCAGGGGTTTTGGGTGGGGGGGAAACTAAGAAACGAGTGATTTGCGCCAGTTTCGAAGGTCAAAATCATTCAAAACACAGCAAAACATAGGAAAAACATATTTTTCATCACTAAAATATGCATCCTAATCTAGCCTAATCTAGTTAGCCCCAGGTCACACTGCCTAACCTTGTCTGGTCACTAAAATATGGGCGGGTGGTATAAATTCTGAAATGGCAAATTGTGATTGTTCGTGGGCGGAGCTGTCCTGCACATGCGCAACTGGATTTCTGAAGATGACAGCGGGTCACCCGTTAATGGCGATATGGCAAGGTTAATTTCCTAACCAAAACTTTCGAGCGCCATATCTTCTTTATTATGCATTTGTTACTAAAATATCATAGAAGAAAATTGTCTTAGAATTTTCTGTAGATTTCACTAATATTGCCAGATTTATCGTAAGGAATTGTAGGACTAAAGTTAACAAGTACCCAAATCGTCACCGAGTGATCAAACTGATTTTGCAGGGCGCGTAATCAACTGATGATTTCCCGTGACCTAAAGCCTATAGAAACTTACCTCAGCTTATTCAGGAATGTTTAGACCTGCGGCAGCATCCAGAAAATTTATAGAGGCGTTCAGGAAGGTGTTTAATGAGATACTCCGCCTAGCAACCATCACAGTCCATTTGTTTTAACTCAACTGTTGTGTGTCGTGTTGTACCAGCATTCTGCAGCTGCACGTGAAGCTCGATGCCTCCAAATATTTTTAGATCTAAAACCAAATTATTATCTAAATATTTATTCGGTTTTTATAATTATGGTGTTAATTTGCACTTGAAAGTACGTTTGTATTTGTTTATATTTTCTCGTAGTTCGTGTTAAGAAATGCAGTCGTAACGAATATCCGCAAGGCGTCCGGTATTGTTATGATCCTCAAACTGATTTATCGTGAGTCTTGAATTTTATTGATTCTACCATATTCTTTTCACGGTGAATGTTACTTTCTGTATGTATGGTAAGTTGCTTTTTTACCCTCAAATTTCTCAAAGATTAATTTTAACAGTGGTGAGGTAGCCATTAATGCTTTAATATTTTACCCCGAAACGCAGTATTAATTTTATCTTGTCCTTGGGTGTTTTATACTCAGAAATACTTATACATAATATATGGTACAAACAAACAAATCCAAATATACATTACAGGTCAAAATAACAATTTCAGCTGCAATGAAGAAGGCTGGCGTTGACCGTGTACCTGAAGTACTCAAGTAACTTGATATGTATGTTTGTTTTGTAAATGTTGATCAACGGGTACCTGAACTAATTACTCAATAACTCTGTCATGTATATTTGTCGTGCAGGTATCACTCAACGGATACTTGGGGTTCTCGGACGCGCCCTTCAACTGGAAGCATTACCCCCTCAGCTTCCCTGTGCCACAGTGGCCGGACCGTCCTGATCCGTCTTTCATTGGACCCTTCTACTCTAAATGCAACATCGGACAACTGAGACCCCGCGACCTCGACACCAGACAGCCTGGATTGTATTGGAGGTGGGTCCTCACACACACACTGTGTTCATCCTGCTATCAGAAGCTGACCTTTCATTGCCCACTTCATTACTATTCGTACATATTAGAATCTTCTTTAGTGCCTTACAGGCCAGCTTTTGACGTATGAAAGATGAATGAGGAAGTTGCTATACACACATGGGTTTTAAGTATATTTTTATTAGTGTCGGGAATGCTTAATCTTGAAAAATGAATGGCTGTCATACGTGTAGGGGTGATTTGATCATTGTATATATGCGCAGTGTAACCATGCAAGCCAAACTGAAAATCATTGGGTTAGGTTAGGTCTAATTAATTAGATATATAAATATGTATATAGTAAAATCGTCATACAGGTCTACAATTGGTTTAGTTGTATATTGACATGGTAGGTATACAGTTCAGCATGCATTTAGGCAACCCAGGTTTATAGTGTTTTTTTATTGTAAACAGTGATTTTGTATACAGGTCCATAAAATGAGCACATTCTTTTATGGCCCCAAAGTTAGTTTTCCTACACAGTGCCTTCATCATACAGGTTGGCCTCACTTCCTGAAGCAACTGGGCTCGGTGGCACATAACATAAGAACATTAGAAAATAAGGAGTCTGCAATAGGCCGGTTGGCCTGTGCATGGTAACCGAAGTTTTTTTAAGATTTAGTGACAACCATATTTTGAAATAATTGATGCTGCTAAGTTTTTAATGCTTAATTTGTGTCTCGTTGATCTCCAAACATTTTTTTTGAGCACCTTTGAGAAATAACACCATCCATTGTTAATATCAGTAAAATGTAGTGCCTTAATTTTATCACCTAACTTGTATTATTTTACCATGGTGGAGTCTCAGCATAATTGTAATGATCTTCATTGAAGTTACTTTTGTGTTAGTTAAACATTGAGATACATTCATAAATATTCAATTCCGATGATGACTCATTTGTACAAACTTTGTCAATCCGACCTGAGTAATAAGAATGTCATGTACAGTGAATTGCGTCAACCTAAGCCATTATTGCCCGTGTCGACAAACAAGCTGGAATGCGGATCCTGAACATTATCAGCAGTGTGTGTGTGTGTGTGTAGGAGACGCCAGGCTGATATACACTACAGTAACGCTAGTTCCGGATTTACTTATCACAAGTGACCTGATGATAAGATAGCAGGTGGTTATCTTACAGTACATGTTTACCTCTGTTGAAATTTATATAAAATGTGGTGGCTCAAAAGTAAATTTTCAACCATGTTCTTTGTCTGCCACGACAAATACTCCTAATGTTTATGCATATGCTGTTAATTATCGAAATGCTTTTTTTTAGATTTCATTTATAAAGAATAAAACCCTTATTGCGCCACGGAATTCTGTTGAGTCCATTTTGTTATTTTAAGCGTTGATGTTCCAGATATCAGAAAATATAATGATACTGTCTTGTTATATTGAGTTATTGTGTTCTAATTATCTATGAACATTTTCATTTTCTACTGTACTGCAGGATGACCGAAACTAAATGACATAACTCTTAACCCTGGCAGCTGAGGCACCTTGAACAGAAGTTGCAGCCGGTCTCATAACGTCTTATAAGTCTAACTTAGTGCGCTAGCAGAGAGTTAAGAGCGCCAGCGGAGACTTAGTGACTTAAATATGTTAGTGCAGCCAGGCCGTGGTGTTCACTTAGGAATGATATCCTTCAAGCCCCAATAACGTTATCCTGTCTATGGTACTTACCGTGGAGCTCGTGAAGACTAGGCACGTCAGCGTATTTCACCTCATGATTAAACACCTTAATGCTAACAGAATGGTTAGGTTAGGTTATAATAGGTTATGCTAGATTCAGTTATGGTAGCATTAGGGGGATTACTCTGAAGGTAAAATAATATGGGGTGCCTAATCTTCACGTGATCCATTAGCGGAAGTGTTGCTTGACTGTGGGTTCCCCCAAATTAGTGTGTGTGTCTTTGTAAATGTATTTCCGTGTCATTGTAAGTGTATGTCCGTGTCATTGTAGTTGTATGTCTATGCCATTGTAAGTGTATGTCCGTATCATTGTAGGTGTATGTCTGTCATTGTAAGTGTATGTCCGTATCATTGTAAGTGTATGTCCGAATCATTGTAAGTGTATGTCCGAATCATTGTAGGTGTATGTCTGTCATTGTAGGTGCATGTCCGTGTCATTGTAGCTGTATGTCTGTCATTGTAAGTATGTCCGTATCATTGTAAATGTATGTCCGTATCATTGTAAATGTATGTCCGTATCATTGTAGGTGTATGTCTGTCATTGTAAGTGTATGTCCGTGTCATTGTAAGTGTATGTCTGTCATTGTAGGTGCATGTACGTGTCATTGTAGGTGTATGTACGTGTCATTGTATGTGTATGTCTGTCATTGTAGGTGTATGTACGTGTCGTTGTAGGTGTATGGCTGTCATTGTAGGTGTATGTACGTGTCATTGTAGGTGTATGTACGTGTCATTGTAAGTGCATGTCCGTATCATTAAGTGTATGTCTGTATCATTGTAAGTGTATGTCTGTCATTGTAGTTATGTGTACGTGTCATTGTAAGTGTATGTACGAGTATGTGTCATTGTAAGTGTATGTACGAGTATGTGTCATTGTAAGTGTATGTACGAGTATGTGTCATTGTAAGTATGTACGAGTATGTGTCATTGTAAGTGTATGTACGAGTATGTGTCATTGTAATTGTATGTACGAGTATGTGTCATTGTAAGTGTATGTACGAGTATGTGTCATTGTAGTTGTATGTACCGTACGTGTCATTGTAGTTGTATGTACCGTACGTGTCATTGTAGTTGTATGTACCGTACGTGTCATTGTAGTTGTATGTACCGTACGTGTCATTGTAGTTGTATGTACCGTACGTGTCATTGTAGTTGTATGTACCGTACGTGTCATTGTAGTTGTATGTACGTGTCATTGTAGTTGTATGTACCGTACGTGTCATTGTAGTTGTATGTACCGTACGTGTCATTGTAGTTGTATGTACCGTACGTGTCATTGTAGTTGTATGTACCGTACGTGTCATTGTAGTTGTATGTACCGTACGTGTCATTGTAGTTGTATGTACGTGTCATTGTAGTTGTATGTACCGTACGTGTCATGGTATAGGACGTGGCTCCAGGGTGTGTGTAGTGTAGTGTGAGCAACTCGGTGCCGTGTTATCAAACACCTCCTTGATAATACTCTCCACACCACATCCTCTCTCTCTCTCTCTCTCTCTCTCTCTATCATCCTCTTGTCTCCCTCACCTACCATTCCTTATTTCCCTCCTTCCCCCCTCTTCGTTTCCCCCCTTCCTCCCTTTTCTTTTCTCTTTTTCTCTCTTCTTTCCTCCCTCCCTTACCTCCCTTTTCTCCTCCCCACCTATTTTCCTCTCCTTCTTTCTTCCTCCCTCCTACCCCTCCTTCCCTCCCTCCTCCTCCCTCCTCCCTGCTCCCCCCGCTTCCTCCTTTTCCTCCCTCCTCCTTCCTCTCTTTCACTTCTCCCTTCCTCCCTCCATTTCTCTATCTCACTTCCTCCTTCACTACTGGCAGGTTGGAGCGTGACCTTCCCTCCCGCGAGGACCAGTTCGGAGTTGAGATCCGTGAGCGGGTCAAGTGGGATATCCGTGAGGGTATTGTAGGCGCCACCATCTTCAAGCCGAAACACGTCATTATCGTCACCTGGAAGAATGTCACCTTTGCCGGTGGTTCCGTCAACACTGATGCTAAATATGTCGTAAGTTTGTGTGTATGGGTGTTAATATGTCGTAAGTTAGTGTGTTTGAGTGTTAATATGTCGTAAGTTAGTGTGTTTGAGTGTTGTTGTCGTAAGTTAGTGTGTCTGAGTGTTAATATGTCGTAAGCTAGTGTGTCTGAGTGTTAATATGTCGTATTTTAGTGTTGAATATATTTCCATCTTGAGGTTTTCTTTTCATGGCTGACCAATTTGTTTTACGTTATTGGGACCACGTAAAGATTAGCCACCCCAGCTCATGTCACCTGATGATGATGAAGCTAACCTAACCTGACCTGATTTAACCTAATCTAGTTCTGACCTAACCTTGTATAATATTAATTATGACATCACCTGATCTAAGATAACGTAACCTAATTTAATATAATCTTTCATAACCAAACCTAATCTACCCAAACCAAACCTAACCTAACCTGACCTATATAATCTAAACTATCCTAACTTAACCTCCCAGATAGCATTTGGGTGTTCAATATTTAGGTGAAACAGGTGAAATAAGCTAGCGTGTCTAGTCTTCAGGTAATCCATTTATTGTGGTGGCATGTTTATTGTCGTTGAGTTTCATACCCACGTTGTTTATAGTGCTCTCTCTCTCCCCCTCCAGACCAACACCTTCCAACTGGTGGTGGTCACGGACGAGATCAGGACTTACTGTCTCTTTAACTATGCCTACATGAAGTGGACCTCCCATACCGAAGCTGGCGGCTCTACTGACGAGGGACAAGGTGGAACCCCTGCTTATGTGAGTACCTGTGTGTGTGTGTACCTTAGTTTCTCATGTTCCTGGATTGATGAGAATTTCTGGTTCTTTCTCTTTCTCCCCTTCCTTCCCTCCTCTATAACACGTCTCTCTCTCTCTCCCTCCTTCCTTCCCCTAACACGTCTCTCTCTCTCTCTCTCTCTTACGCCTATAATACCTCAATAAACTTAAGCAAGCCGCAGACACGAGCCCATCAGTAACACTCCCTCTTCCCCAGGTCGGGTTCAACGCCGGGAACGGGACCCGCGCCTACGAATACACTCCCTACAGCCAGCAGCTCTACATCCGTGACCTCGCGACCTCCGGCAATGCCACTGGCCTCCCAGGGCGACATATCTTCCGGATTGACGAGAAGATCCTCTCCGGCTGCTGCAGGAGGGAGGAACGTGAGTCCTGATGAAATATCCGTAGAGTCATTGTAAATACAGAACCTAACCTAACCAAGGAGGTTAAGTAAATTGTAATGATGATGTTGGCTAGTAAATTGTTATTGTTATAGAGTTATTATTTGTTTTTATCATTGTTGTCATGACTATGATCATTGTTGTTTTTATTAGTACTATCATTTATTATTATTATTATTATTATCAGCAGCATTATATTATGAGTCCGTTAGTTATTGTCGTATTAACGAAACTTTAACCCAAAACTCCCCATAAAATAAAATTAAAGTGCCTCTCCCGACCCACAGAACTGAAGGTGTACCCGCTGACGTTCTCACCCGAGCAAGGCAACATGCTGGGAGGTACTCTAGTCAACCTGACGGGGCCCTGCTTCAGTGAGAGCTACCGCCTCACCTGCCAGTTCGATACCACCACTGTCGAGGGCCACGTGCTCGACACCAATCGGGCCTCCTGTATCGTGCCTCAGCTCCTCGTCTCAGGCTACGTCGACTTTTCCATCTCCATCAACAGTGGACCTTACTACTGGAAGGGCAAGTTCTTCGTCGGTGAGTAAGATGGTGGACGTTATAGCAGGGGAAGGGTACTGCAAGGTGTGTGTGTGTGTCTCTGTGTGTGTGTGTGTGTGTGTGTCTGGGAAATGATACAGATGAACTATCTAGATGTTGGCTGAGGAACATTACAGCCGAGCACACCCGCTACAGCAGCCGTAGAATACATAGCAGTGAATGATAGAGAGATTGTGAAGGCTTTTGATTCCAGTTACCAGCACACATCATATCGAGGAAGGACTCACAGGAGGGAGAGAGAAAAGGATTAAACAAAAATTGTAGGAACAACAGGACATAAGTTTTCCATTTATATGTTGTAGGTTGTGAAAGTGTGGCTCAGAAAATTAAAAAAAAAAAGGTTATTGCATTAATGATTATAGATGTACAAAAAAAGTGATAAGCGTGGTAACATTCTAATATGTATTTACTACCATAATGTTACATGTAGCAATTCCAGATGATATTAAATGTTTATATAATAATTCCTTGAGATAAATGTACAGTATACTGTATGTCAGGTGCTACGAAGAGGGCCCAGGCTATCACTTGACTCAACCATGTGAATATTGTTCTTATTATTGTATCCACTCTGTATCTGTATTTTTCTAGTGAAATAAACTGTTTCATTATTACTATCATGCCAGAGACACCACTGACGTCGCCTGAGGGAGTATGGTTCAGGGATGACAACTACCAACAACACTCACCCGAAACCATGGAGATCAGTTGGCTGGCAGGTAACTTGACCATGAACAGAGACGCGCCTGTCGTAATGTCCCTCTGGGGTTACCGAGAGATCACCGTGCAGCCAGAACTCATCTACATCGACATCCTTGTGGTGAGTCTCGTTCGGCTGGGTGTTGAGAGAGACTTTATGATCATATGATTCTCCTATAAACTATCTTAGCCGGCACGATGGTTTGGGTGTATTTATGTCAGGCATGGGACGATTAAATTTAATTTAACTATTAAGTTAATTTTATTTTTTGTCCAGTTAAGTTAAGTTAACCTGATTTTTTTAACATTAACTATTTAGGTTAAGATTTTTTCGATTAAGTTAAGTTAAGTTAACTAGTCTGTGTCAAATTTGCTTTGGGGAATTTTCATGTGGATTAAATAACTTGATATTCTGTAAATGTTTTCCAGAAGTGTCAATGAATACTGTAGTTTGAATACCTGAATAGTGAGGCAGTCTGTCACACCAGTTCCTTGGTATGAATAAGTCTTGAGACAAAATAATTATAAATTCTTGACTTTTTTTATTTTTTACTCAACAGTTTTTCACATTTAAATAATTCTATTATTTCAGTATGCAGAACCAAGTTAGAATTTCTTACTTGAAAAATTATATCATGATAAGATAAGAATTCTGCATATCAAATAAATAATAATCATTAAAAGTTTAAACTCAGAACTTTTTCATCACATACTTATTACACTTTATAATGCTAAATATATTGGATACTCTCTGGGCTGGTGTGTTGTATATTACAGTTTTTATTATTTTTTCTAGGGATTTAATTGATAATATAATTAATCGAAGTTAAACAATTAATTTACCAAATTTTCGATTAAATTAAGTTAAACTGTTATTTCAAAAGTTAACTAGTTTAGCTAAATTAATTTATTGCCCCATGCCTGAATTGTATGTATGTTTAATATACCAGTTACACCAGCATAATATCTACTTTACCACTGCACTTCATCCACCTCACCCCCATCCTCTCATTCGTTCTCACCACCGCCATTTCCCTTCTTAGTACTGTACCACCCATTCTCACCACCATCTTCCTTCTCACCCCCCATTCACCATCACCTCCCTCTCACCATCACCTCCCTCACCATCACCTCCCCTCACCATCACCTCACCTCCCCCCTCACCATCACCTCCCCTCTCACCACCACCCTCTCACCACTCACTACATTTGACCAACAGGACGGGGTGCCCAACACAGGATCGTACACCCTCACCCCGACCGACTACGCCAACAACAACAACTACAACCAGCTGGACCTGGAGATGGGTCTTCTCATGATCAACCTCACCACCCCGGAGCCTCAGTTCGGGCTCAAACAATCCACGTAAGTCCCCCATTGAGAACCTTGGTGTTGGTTGGTGATGTGAGAACTCTTACTGACTCTTCCATGACATCGTTTACTGTGTCAGATTGTGGACGAAACTTCTGCTTCTGTATATCCAACTCTTAATTCGGTCCTATTAATAAGAAGACTTAGCACGATAACTCAAGGATTTTCATTAATTATTGAAGTAGATGTTATTTCCCGCCTCAGAAACTTTGTTTTTAGAAGTATAAAGACGAGTATAGGATATAGTTACAGCTCTGTAGCTGCCATATAATATTATGAAATAATGTCTTTTGTTTTAGTAAACTTTTTTTTATTAATTTTATGTAGTTACACTTTTTAGCATATGACGCAAGAAAGACATCACACACATTTATCACTGTGCTATACAGTGTCTCAAAAAAGACATGTATATAATGTCTTTGGATTACCCTATACTCGAACCAGCTACCCTTTGGAAGCGAGACGAGTGCTGTATCCACTTCCCCACCTCACACATGGGGGATCCCAATAATCATAATCCATTTTCTTCTATAATTTGTAATAATAATCCACCCGGGTTTATAGGTTTAACTTCAGAGGGTCATAGTAGTATACCCAGGTTTACACTTAAAAGATCCAAGGTTGTATTTACAGTATACTAGGTTATAGGCTTAATTTCAAAGGTTCAAAGTTGCATATCAAGGTTAAATTCAGGGGTTGTATTGCAGGGAGGTGTATTGAACGGTGATTGTTTTACAGTATGTGGTTCACTGGGTGGTTATGCTCCAGTATAGTATGTGGTTGACTGGGTGGTTATGCTCCAGTATAGTATGTGGTTGACTGGGTGGTTATGCTCCAGTATAGTATGTGGTTGACTAGGATGGTTACGCTCCAGTATAGTATGTGGTTGACTGGGATGGTTATGTTATAGTATAGTATGTGGTTGACTGGGATGATTATGTTATAGTATAGTATGTGGTTGACTGGGATGGTTATGCTCCAGTATAGTATGTGGTTGACTGGGATGATTATGTTATAGTATAGTATGTGGTTGACTGGGAAGGTTATGTTATAGTATAGTATGTGGTTGACTGGGATGGTTATGTTATAGTATAGTATGTGGTTGACTGGGATGGTTATGTTATAGTATAGTATGTGGTTGACTGGGTGGTTATGTCCAGTATAGTATGTGGTTGACTGGGATGGTTATGTTATAGTATAGTATGTGGTTGACTGGGATGGTTATGTTATAGTATAGTATGTGGTTGACTGGGATGGTTATGTTATAGTAGAGTATGTGGTGGGTATGGTTATGCTCCAGTATAGTATGTGGTTGACTGGGATGGTTATGTTATAGTATAGTATGTGGTTGACTGGGATGGTTATGTTATAGTATAGTATGTGGTTGACTGGGATGGTTATGTTATAGTATAGTATGTGGTGGGTATGGTTATGCTCCAGTATAGTATGTGGTTGACTGGGATGGTTATGTTATAGTATAGTATGTGGTTGACTGGGATGGTTATGTTATAGTATAGTATGTGGTTGACTGGGATGGTTATGTTATAGTAGAGTATGTGGTTGACTGGGATGGTTATGTTACAGGGTGGTGTGGTCACGTCCCATTCCGTTGGCCTGGTACTTCCATTTCCAGTGGGAGCGACTCTACGGCACCAATTGGCAGGTGGCCATGTGTGACAGGTGGATCGAGAACGACAGGAACCTCAGGAACTTTGCTTACGAGGTGAGTCAAGCACATTCCCTACCTGGACAAAATTCCCGTCGGATTATCTTCCACTGGACAAAATCCCTGTCACATAATCTTCCACTGGACAAAATCCGTCAGATTAATTTCCACTGGACAAAATCCTTGTCATATAACCTTATATTGGACGAAATTCCTGTCAGCTAATCTTCTATTACACAAAATGCCTGTCAGATTATCCTCCACTGGACAAAATCTCCATAACATAATCTTCCACTGGACAGACTCCCCGAAAGACAATTTAGCACTGGACAGAACCCCCCTGTGTGTGTGTGTCTGTGTGAAAGTCTAATCTCATCTCCCGCAACAGGTGGAACGCTGCCCGTGCCTCCTAAAGCAGGCAGTGGCAGACAGGGGAAGGTTCCTTCCAGACTTCTCGTGTGACCGTGACGGCAACACTGAGTGCGAATACCACTTCGGCGCCATCCACTGTGTCCGTACCGCCCTTCCCAAGTACGTCCTCTCTCCCTCACCTCTCAGTCTAGTTCTGTCTCTCGCAGCAGTCAGTCTAGTTCTGTCTCTCACACATATCAGTTTAGCCTCTATCTCTCCGTTAGAAGTCAGTCTCGTTCTGTTTCTCACTCAAAAGTCAATATGATTTCTCTCTCACTCTTCAATCTACACACACACACACACACACACACACACATATATATATATATATATATATATATATATATATATATATATATATATCAGTGTGCATATAAGAAAAATCCCCCAATTAGTAACACACACAACTCCTGTCCATGACCCCTGTATGACCTGTTGTTGACCCACAGTAAGGACGGGCAGGTCAACAGTGTTGCTACGATCGTGACGGCTACCTCATGATGACTGCTGACAAGATGTGGGGCGGCAACCCTCACCGAGCACATAATCTCGGCAAGACGCCCTTCAACGAGGCCAACAAGGTGAGGTGTTTCCTCTCTCTCTCTCTCTCTCTCTCTCTCTCTCTCTCTCTCTCTCTCTCTTATAAGTCAGTTAATTATCTGTCTGTCATAAAGTCAGTTAAGTACGTATCTCTCACTTACAAGTCAGTTTAGAGGGTGTCTTAGGTCACACTGTTGCTAACTTCCCTGCTGACACTCCTTCTCTGGTAGGTACCGAGTATGTCTCACTGGTACCATGACGTCATCCCCTTCTACACGTGTTGCAAGTGGCAGGGTGAACAGTCCCCCGGCTGTGTCACCTACAGGTTCGAGCGACGCGCCTCCCAGGACTGTGTCGGCTACCAACCTCCTACTGCTGGTGAGTCTCTCTCTCTCTCTCTCTCTCTCTCTCTCTCTCTCTCTGTAGTAGTTAATAATGCACATTTCAAGAATCAGAGTTGACGTAAATGATTCCTCCACTTCCTTGTTATCTCCTCATCTCTTCTCCACCTCTTTTCTACTCCTTCCTCTCACCTTTATGGTTTCTTCCTCATCTCTCCCTAAGTACTTCCTCTCACCTCTCACCTATTTCCCTCTCCTTCCTCCCACTTTTCACCACTCTTTCTTCACCTCTCCTTCCCATCCTTCATCTCTCCCTCCCTTTCCTCACCCCTCATCTCTCCCTCCCTTTCTTCACCTCCCCCTCCCCCTCCCTTTCCTCACCTCTCACCTTTCCCTCCTTCCCTCACAGCCACGGTGTTCGGTGACCCTCACATCTACACCTTCGACGACCTGCCCTACACGTTCAACGGGAAGGGGGAATTCGTGCTGGTGAGGGTCGACTCTCTCCGTCACGTGCTTGATGTTCAGGGCCGCTTCGAGCAGATCTCCAAGAACTACCTTGGCGAGTCTAAAGGCTCCATGCTCACAGCTGTTGCAGGTGTGTGTGTGTGTGTGTGTCTGTGTGTGTGTGTGTGTATGTATGTGTGTGTGTGTGTGTTTACAAAGATGATGTCAATTTCATATAGGGAGCAGAGTGGTTGGATATACCTTCCCACTCCCTCCCTTGCCTCGTCCCCACCCTAACACAAACCCCTAAAGCTAGTCTCATCTCAACGCTAACCTCACCTGACCTCCCTCCCGAACAGCTCGAGACAACATATCATCAGTAGTGGAGGTTCGTCAACGCCCCACAGACGCTATCTGGCGCTACCACTTGGACGTGATCGTGGACGGACAGAGGGTGTACTTCGACAGGTACTCTCAGAAGATCCAGCAGTTCAGAGGTACAGTCCGTCCGTCCCAGCCTCCCATGACCTGTTTCTGAGTCACAGTACTAATCTTTCTCTTAGTGACATAGATCATACTTATTTTGGAACTGTACCAAAATACTAGTTGTATATGAGCTACTGTATACTGTATATAACATCAAACAATCAACATATTTTTTTTAATATTTACAAATAAGTTTAGGCACACAGCGTCGCCCTTATCGAGACCAGATTTGTAGGAGAAAATAAAAGAGGTTACAGACAGTGGAAGACTTTTTTTTAAGAAATTCAAATTTTAATTGAAGAGAAAAACTTTAATTAAGAAGGTAAGGCGATACATTGTTTAGTAATAATGGTTAATAGGTCAGTAGCAACTTCACAACGACCCACCCTCGAGTTGTCAACACCCACGTAAATCTCTGACGCAGTTGCTTGTGGAGTACCGTGTGCCCTATACTAACGGCCGGGGTGGGAACTGAAGCAACCAGCTCTTGGGAGTAGAAAATGAAGTAATATGTGTAGATTAGGTGAACTAACATACCAGAGAGGAGAGAATGAGTCAAGTTTTGAAGTAAGAAATGAAGTAGTAAGGATAATTGCCATAGACTCAACACCGTCAAGTAAAAGGTCGAAGGGATAGTCTCTCTCCAGATATGAGAACACTACACTATCTCTTATGTGTGGGTGCAGTTGTTAACCGAGGGAAATCTTCGAAATCGGGACAAGATTTCCACATTTTGGGGGCAGATTTAGTTATTTAAATTATGTGCAGTTCCAAATTAGATTAAAGATTACAACGATGCTGATGCCAAATATTTAAGTTGAAGCCACTAATATGATAAATTATATTTTACAATGTTTCCATGTATATTTATTGTCTTCGGTGGAGGAATTAAAAAAAATGCATATAAGAAGATAGGAAAGTCATAAGGAGTTTATAAATATACTTTACACACCTTCTATAGAGTTTTATACACACTTACCATAGAGTTTTATACACACCTTCCATAGAGTTTTATACACACCTTCCATAGAGTTTTATACACACCTTCCATAGAGTTTTATACACACCTTCCATAGAGTTTTATACACACCTTCCATAGAGTTTTATACACACCTTCCATGAGACATAACTGATCTCTCTTGTTGACCTACCGTGTTATGGGGGAGCAGAATGCGTGGTGTACACTCCTAGCAACATCCTCAACCAGAGCCACGTCATCATCATGTTTGCCTCCGGGGCGGGCGTCGAGGTTATGGAGAATATGGGATTCCTCGGCACCAGGATATACCTACCTCTGAGCTTTGCGGTGAGTGAGGGGTGAGAGAGAAAGAGAGAGTGAGAAAGAAGTAGAAAAAGACCGAGAAAGAGGGAGAAAGAAGAAGTTAAAGTGGGAATGAGAGAGAGAAGAGAGGATGTAAAGAGAATGAGAGAAGGGGAGAGAAGGAAGTAGAGAGGGGAGAGAAGGAAGCAAAGTGAGAATGAAAGAGAGAGGGAGAGATATGAAGTGAGAATGAGAGAGAGATGGAACAAATTTTTACAGTGTTGACGTTGGCCACAAATTCTTGCAGTAGAAGGGAGGGAGAGACAAAGAAGGGAAATTTGAAATAAAGAGAGTGAGAGAAAGAGAGAGAGAAAGACAGAGAAGTCATCGATATCACAGTGAACCATTAACTATGAATTTAAGTCCATATTAACAGTATTACACCACTAAGGTCCTCTCCCTCGCCCCCTGCAGAACATAACACGGGGACTCTTCGGTAATTGGACGTTTGATCCTGCAGACGACTTCGTGCTGCCTGACGGTTCTGAGGGCCCCAGCGTAGACAGTAACAACCTTGAGCTCATCCACAAGCAGTTTGCCATGAATTGTGAGTCTACAGGAGTCTACAGGCGTCTACAGTGCTCCTCTTTCTTGTGTGTTAACCTTAGTGTAGTGATGCTCGATAAATGTGTGTGGAGGAGGTTAGTCATTCCTGTACAGTGTGCTTCTTCTTTTTCGCGGATAACAGCTAGATTATTGTGCACCCTTACTTATCCGGTGAGCCATAGAACAAAAGGATTACAGGGCAGAGGTCAGTAAGGATCTTTGTCATAACTCACTGGTCAGGTTCTTGTGGCATTGAACATTAAAGAGTATTTGCCGTCCGTAGTGTGTCACAAGTTTTATGTACTGAGTGACTTACTGTACCTACCTTAAAATGTGGATACAGTCTTAAGGTATCAGGTTTTCTCATCCTCAACAGTAAGGTGATGTGCCATTGTACACTTTGTAGACCTGTCCCTTCCTGTCCCTTCACTATTCATTCATGCTACCACTATACTCTGTTGATGCATAGATGGAATGATCACTACGCAAGCCATAACCCCTTAAGACACACTGCCCTTCACACCACACCAACACTAGTACCCCCCACTCACACCACACCAACACTAGTACCCCCCACTCACACCACACAACACTAGTACCCCCCACTCACACCACACCAACACTAGTACCCCCCACTCACACCACACAACACTAGTACCCCCACTCACACCACACCAACACTAGTACCCCCACCCACACCACACCAACACTAGTACCCTCCTCACACCACACCACCCACACACCACACCAACACTAGTACCCCCACTCACACCACACCAACACTGGTACCCCCACTCACACCACACCAACACTAGTACCCCACTCACACCACACCAACACTAGTACCCCCACTCACACCTCATCACCTCTACCTCTCCTCCACAGGGGTGCTGGACGACAAGGAGTCTCCGTATGTAGGGAAGAGTCTGTTCTTCCACGAGAGTTCCCGCTCCAGCAACTACTACTACGACTTTGAGTTTATACCACAATGGAATTCCCATCCAGATCTCTCCCCCAACGCGTATGTATAGATTGTGTGTGTGTGTGTGTGTGTGTGTGTGTGTGTAATAATAATAATAATATTTAACGGTTTATTGAAAAAGTCGGCAGCCCGAAGGCTGAAAATAAACATTGGACAAAAATGACTTATCACATACAAACACATGGGGTGGGTGGGTCGTTTAACAAAAACTTTCATGACTGCAAGAAGAAGGAACATGAATTGAACATATAAATTATTATAGTTTACATTTAATGGCCCCGGTCTGGACTGGTCATGGAGACACCAGGTGGTGTGGTGTTCACGTGGTGCAGTAACTCGTCCTCGGGTGTTCATATGAAGGACCTCACGTGGTCATGGGGACACCGGGTGGTGTGGGGTGGTGTCACAGTACCCCATCCTACTGGGTGGTGTTGTGTTATTTCTAAGTCAGGTGTGAAGCCGACCCACTGTTGTTCCCAGGGTGGACTGATTAGCACCTCCTTGTCAGAAGATGGCGGTCAGTTCCCAGGGGTGCTTATCTCACTGGTGGGTCACGGTTCTCACTGGTACTGTATAGTGCTGAATTCACTGGCTTAAACACTGTTCATCATTGTTCAACACTGGTCCCACTTCTTTCCGAAACGAAATTGTCACTTTTGATTATGTTGATATCCCGGTGGTGAGGATGGGTCGGGGAGAGGGACTTGGGGAATGGGCCGAACATTGGCCAAGGGTGAGAGCTGCTCAGCAGGAGCAGCGCCTAAATAGGTCTTGACCCTACGGTGGTCAGGGATGTGTGTGTGTGTGTGTGCAAGTGAGTTCGTGTTACTTTGTGTACATTTTGTACTATATATATATATAGTCAGAGTGACATATATCATTAAGTGCTCTACAAATATTTTTCAATCTTAATATAAATTTTTTAACACAGTTGTCTGACATCAGTATTTCCTTTGGACACAACAAGACCCGTGATGATCCTTCTGAGAACATGTGTCTCACTCACTCCCTCCTCCCCTCCCTGGACCTTTATTTGTTCATCTACACCTCTTATACCCTTCCTTCTTCATCCCTCATCTATCCTCCTCATACAGCTGTCGCCGCTCGACTTTCACTCTCCTCTTCCTCCTCACCTTATCTTCACTCCCACCCCACCTCCTCAACTCATCTTCTCTTACCTCCCCCTCCCTCCCGCAGGACAACACCCATGGCTGACATAGATCGGGTGTGTGGTGACTCTTACCAATGCTACTACGACTACGTGGTCACGCTCAGGAGGGACTTCGCCGTCATGACCAAGTACTACCAGGACCAGTTCGTCAACATCAAGAAAGAGGGACTCACAAATGGTAAGTCACTCTGTTTGGTGGGGGGGGAGATGAAAGCGTGAATTGATGGGGTGTGGTGTGGAGGTTGATGGGATGTGGAGGTGGAGGTTGATGGGGTGTGGTGTGGAGGTTGATGGGATGTGGAGGTGGAGGTTGATGGGGTGTGGAGACGTGGAATGATGGGGATGGGGAAGGGACAATGACTTACTGTAAGTTTCCCATCTAATGTGCTAGTAGTGATATCGTTACCCATTTGTTTACTAATAGTGACTCACCCCCCCAGTGGTGTCGTGTGGAGCACTGCCAACACCTCCTAATGGGCGTAAATCAACGTTTAACTTCCTGAGTGGCGCTGAGGTGAAGTTCGACTGTGACCCGGGCTACGTGTTGCTTGGTGAGCAGCGCCGTTGGTGCTACGCCTCCGGGGACTGGAACTGGCCTGAGGATGGCGAGGCTTTGTGTGTCAGTAAGTGTTGCCGCCTCTCATTACTGTGTGTCTGACCCATTTGTTTACCTCATACAATTTGGTTTAGATTAATGGGGAGAGACAGACATAGAGATTGAGTGATAGATAGAAATACATGTACAGTAATATCGTCTTGCTAGTTTACAATTGGTTCAGCAAGTATATAGAAAATGCAGGTATACAGTTTAGCTTGTGTGTAGATAACGTAAGTATACAGTATACCATTTCCATTGAAGTACTTACAGTAGATAGTGAAGGTATACAAACAACGGTAAATAGCAAGGCAATTCTACACACACACACACACACTCTCTCTCTCTCTTCTACTACTACTTTGCTGTCACTCGGAATCGAGTATGACGATCATCCAGCTATGGTAAAATTATATGAGTTATTAGGATGTCACGTTCGTTGGTGAGCTCTGAGGTGACTATAGAGGCCGATACGGTACCGGCAGGGCAGTCAACAGATGTTGTACGTGTGGAGGGCTATATCTAGTGCGGGAGGGGCGACGGCAGCGTGCTTCCAGCGTTGGCGCTTGTGTGCCTCGGTATGCAGTCGGGAAAACTCGAAAGTATTAACACCTTCTTGTGTGGTAGTCCACCAAGCATTACGGTATGGAATAATCGTCTCCCAGGTGGGGTAGGGTACGATTCAGCGCCGCCGTTTCAGCGCCGCCGTTTCAGCGCCAGCCCATTTCAGCGCCAGACTATTCAGCGCCGAGACCTTTCAGCGCCTGTGCGTTCCGTTCAACATCTCTGTGGGAAACAATTGTTGTCTTCTCCCAGTTCCTCTCCGGTATGGACGACCAACCTAACCTAACCTAACCTAACCTAACCTAACCACGTTAATGAAAGACAGATAGCTTCTGAGTTGAACGGAACGCACAGGCGCTGAAAGGTCTCGGCGCTGAATAGTCTGGCGCTGAAATGGGCTGGCGCTGAAACGGCGGCGCTGAAACGGCGGCGCTGAATTGGCGGCGCTGAATTGGGCCATCCCCTCCTGTATGTGACCCATGTCTCGCTACCATATAGCAGGGTGGGCAGGACCACTGCTCAATATACATGCAATTTTGTAGATAATTTCAGTTCCCTACAGCTGAAGACACGAGTACAGAGTCTGCCAACGGCTTGAGATGCACATCTGATTCGATATTAAATCTCTTCATCGATGTCTGCGGTGGTGGACAGGTGGGGGTCCGTGATACCGAAAGTGGGTAACATTTGAGAGAGTAATACTATTAAGGTGGATGGATGGTGGAGGTGTGGCTGAACCAGAGGCAGGCTGAAAGAGAATCTGAGTCTTACATACATTCACCTCAAGGCCGAAGTGTGCATACGCGTTCAGTGTGAGCAACAAGGGTGAGGTCGTCTGCCTACTGAAGTTCAGTAATGGAAGCTGCAGACACCTTTGTTCCTGCCTGGAGTCGTCTTATGTTGAAAAGACCCTTCATCCGGTACTGGATGTCCTCCCCGCCGGCTAAATTGGCACTGACACGAGTAAGGAAGGCAGCCAAGAAAATGGAAAACAGAGTTGGTGCCAGTACACATCCTTGTTTTACCCCCGTTTGGATGGGGAAGAACTCAGACTGGGTGCCATTGTGCAGGACACTGCCGTTCATGCCACCGTGGAGTTGTCTGACAATGACAATGAATTTTGGTGGGCAACCAAAACGGCTGAGGGTCCGCCAGAGGGCTTCCCTGTTCACCGAGTCGAAGGCCTTGGTTTGGTCGATGAAGGCCATGAACAGGTCATGATGCTATTCTCTGCATTTTTCCTATATCTGGCAGGCAGCAAAGATCATGTCAGGGGTGCCACGTGATGGTCTAAAGCCACACTGAGATTCTGGGAGGAAGTTTTCCGCCTCGGGAAGAAGTCTGTTTAGGAGGACTTGGCCGATAATCTTGCCAGCTATTGACAGCAGCGAGATCCAGTGCTAGTTGCCACAGTCTGACCGGTCTCCCTTGTTCTTATAAATATTGACGATGGAGATGTCTTTAAGAGCTTGGAGGATTTCCTCCTTCCCCATATATTCTCCAGGAGAGAGTGGAGGCGGCTGGTAAGCAGAGGTTCTCACTGGGATTCCATCAGGCCCTGAGGCTTTGTTTTTCTTTATCTGTTTGATGGCAGTTGCTACCTCATGGAGAATAGCTGAGGTGGGTCAGCTCAGGATACTGAAGGACCAGCTGGGTAGTCGGGATATCCACATCGGTATTTCGGTTAAGCAGCTAATGGTAGTGCTCTTTCCAGCACTGAAGGATGCCTTCTTTGTCTTTAATTAGGTAGTTACCATAGAATGAGCGGAAGGGGGCTGCACCATGAGTGATTGCCCTATAAAATGTTTTAGTGGAATTGATAAATTTGCGCATCTTGTGTTGATCTGCACGTTTTTGTATTTCACATGCTTTATTTTTTAACCAGTCGTTCTTTAGTTTGCGAAGTTAGTGCTGGGCCGCTGCTTTCTTCTTGCAGAAGGTATCAGCTTTGGTGTGAGGCTGAGGGTTGTCCTACAAGTCAGTTAAAGTAGACCCTTTTTCATCAACGAGTATATTGATTTCCGGGTCATTTTCATCAAACCAGTCCTGGTGTATTCTTTCGATCTGGCCAAGGGTCTCTGCAGGTTTTTGTCAAGACAGTTTCGAGAATACCACATTCGGCACTTGGACCTGGGTTGTTTGTTGCTAGGTTGTTTATCAGCCCGTGTTCGAGCTGCTCTCTGAAAGCATGTGCTTGTGCTACCACTGGATCCTCCAGACACTGAGTATTAAAATATTAAAACCTCTTCTGGAGGCTTGTTGCCTTCGCTGTTTTTGGGGCGACGTGAAGTGAGAGCTTGGCTTGACGAGCTGATGATCAGTGTCACAGTGATCTGAGCCATTCTTGGCTCGGGTGATGAGGACATCTTGGTGATCTCTTTCTCTGATAAGGATGTAGTCAATGAGATGCCAGTGTTTGGATCGTGGGTGTTACCACGAACCCTTGAACTTGTCGGCCTGCCTATACAAGGTATTGGTGATAGTGAGGTTGTGTGCAGCACATTTGCTGAGGAGGAGTTGGCCGTTGGGACTACACATGCCTAGTCCATTTCTCCCTATGATTCCCTGCCAAATATCTGCATCTCTGCCAACTCTGGCATTGAAGTCACCAAGAAGCACAAACTTATCTTCTCTCGGGATACAGGTTTGCACTCAGTCAAGGTGAGCATAAAGGGCTTCCTTGATGTCATCCTCTGCATCCAATGTTGGGGCGTATGCACTGATGAAGAAGGCATGACATGATTGATTCAGTGGCACTTGTTGATCCCAACAAGCATTTCAGTTAGGCTGTGTAGGATTCATTGGCGGATGGCGAATCCAACTCCATAAATGCAGTTTCTCTCCGCAGCAGGCTTACCCTTCCAGAAGAAGGTATAGTCAGACCCACATTCTGTGAGTCGACCTTCGTCTGGGAGCCGGGACTCACGATGTTATACCTAGCCAGCTCTTTTGCCACAAGGGTGATTCTTCTTTCAGGATGCTCATTTGTGCCAGTATCCAGAAGGGTCCTGACATTCCATGCAGTGACCATAAGAGGTTATATAGTTTCTTTTTGTTTTGATCTGTGATTGTGATTGTGTTTTCGATCGCATAAGGATGACCTTACTGGGTGCAGTTGCCCAGTCAGGTTGGTTCTTTAGGCAGGCTATGTTTAGGGCACCTTCTCTAGCCCCCTCCCCATGTTAGGTGAGCAGAGTGGCTCCTCGAAAGGGCTGCTCAGTCGCATGAACAGGACCAGATTGCACTGCTACCTAGATCCCAGTGCATAAACGACTATCTTATCTATGCTGCCCACGTGCAGAGTTGTGACGAGAGACTTCCAGCAGTCATCTCTGCCTGTCCCCGTCGCCACTCGTCTGTCGCCATAGAACTTTTGGGAGTATAGGGGTTTTGATGATGGTGAGAAGTATGATGATCTGGATGATGGCTGAGCATGAGTTGATTTATGTGGTGAGGCAGGAGCGCAGGCTGCAACCACACATCTTGGCTCTCCCTTTTCCTCATCCAATGGTGCAAGTGTTGCAACGACTGGGGAGAGGGAGGATTGCAATGGACTGTCGATTGCCCAGTTTGTTGGGTTTTGCCTTAGTAGCCTGTCCATCATGCATTGCCCTCGTCCACCGGTGTAGTCGTTGGGTTTCCATGGTGGTCACCTCTTCCGCCTACACCGCCGTTGGGGTCTTGTTGGAGCTCTGTAAGCATGTCTGCCTGATGCCGGGCTCCGCCTTAGATTTATCGTTCGGGGTTTACTCCCGTAGCCTTATACCTACCAAGGTTAATCTGCAAGGCAGCGGGGTAGTGGTTGGTAGGCGCCAGGACTTGTCCACATGCTTGTGGGACTATGCGCCGTCTCTTTGGAGCCCATTGCTGCTCCGAGATCCCCTACTGGTCTAGCCTGGGCCCACGAGGCACCCAGTTACCATGTTGACAAGAGGAGGCACAGCAGGAGTCTTGATGGTGAAGAGGCTGCTTACTGGCAGGGAAAGACTTATGCAAGTTGCTTCCCTGCTCGCCACGAGGGCTAGCCAGCGGCAGTAGCTGAAAGTGAGAGGAAGCAAGCAGTGCTTACACCTTAACACTAACATATTGTTGCCACACTAGATGCATTACACCACCCTGTGCACACACACACACACACCTGAGCTTATATAGTTATGGATACAGGCAGTAAGTAGTAGGCAGCTACCAAACAGGGAGGTACTACCGCCTAGGAAGATATTGGAAGCATAATGTATTGTCTAATGGTAGACTCTGCTGCCATATGGCATCACGAATATTGTGACCAAGTCCCAGGTTGCTAATCTGACTTTCTGCCTCATTTACACACAATTGTAGGGTCTCAATTGTTTCTCCAACTATTGACAACACAACATACATAATATATTACTGTATATTGTTTCTCACTTTTGATCTTTTTTTCAGTTTTGTATTTAATTATGATTATTATGACAGTGTTATTATTATTATCATTATTATATTATTATTTTATTTTCAATTTTGTATTTTGTATTAAAAAATTTATTTATGAATTATTATTATTATTATTATTATTATTATTATTATTATTATTAATTATTATTATTATTATTATTATTATTATTATTATTATTATTATTATTATTATTATTAGTATTATTATTATTATTATTATTATTATTATTATTATCATTATTATGAGTGTTATTAATAGTACAGAGTATTATATTTTCGCCCCCCAGGCCCCGATGTGGGTCAGTGACCTGTGCCCGGGTGGGCTCATCCCCGTAAAAAAAAATGTAGAGCTGTTTCTTGGCCACCTAATTATATGTTTAGTCATAAGTTAATAACAACTTATTGATATATGTGTACATATGTATATACCTGAGCCAGACCTGTGTATCTGGTGCAAATCGTCCGCGCCCGAGCCTCTCCTTCCACTACCACTTCCCTGGGTCACCGCTACACCCTCTTCGTCCATAACCGAGTTAAGATCTGAACCCTACCACCGACGTCCTGAACTCATTGGATAATAACGTAGTCATATTCATTATTAATGATACACGGTTTTTCTTATATTTTTATGTTATTTATATTAGTTATCACTATTTTTATCTACATTTATAAAGTTAACAAACTTTGGGAGATGATCTAGGGAAGTTAAAACGCCTGTATCCCAAGTGTAGGTAATGTTAGGGTACTTGTTTTTAGATGTTGATAAGATTGATCATAGCTCATGTAAATGTGAGGTTTGAGAAAAATCAGGCGTCCTTGCTAAGAAAGGCGGCTCTGTTATTTCCTCGGTGGTTCGATAGTGGATCTTAGACTTGATCGATTTAAAGTATTTTGTTTTGAGACAACCGTAAATGTGTGTGGCCTTCATAACTGTGTACCACAACCCCTGCAGGTGTTCATAATACCTACTTCCGAAAATCTTGGGTGAGTAAATTTTTCAGCTGTACGCTACGGTAATGATTTACTTCGACAAAAGTCAAGATATATCTCCTGGTGGCGTTTAGAGGTAATCGTTGTGTGACGCGGTGATGTGGGCGTGCGAGGGGCGGCGCGGGCGCGGACAGCCAAGTCAGCAACTGATGGAGTACCCCTCCTTCCTCCTGCAGCTGAGGCGGAGTACCTGATGATGCAGCAGGGGATAACTGCCGGTACCGTGCTGGCCGTCCTCTTGCCAGTCCTCTTCGCCCTCTTCTGTTTCGCCTCCTACCAGCGCTCCAAGTCTCGCCAAGGCTCACGCCCTCGCCCCCCCTCCCCGCGCCTCGCCAAACCTCCCGCCCCACGCCCGGTCATATCACATCCTATCCCCACCAAGGACCTTGACTACTACCCCGTCACCACCACTGAAGATCCTATCACCTGGAAGGCAGGACCAACTGACCTGAAACTTCTTAGTGAAGCTCCCCTGGGCAGAGCTGACGAATACAGCACCACAGAAACAGCAGCGTCCTCCATTACCGCCTCCGTCAGCGACTCCGGCAGTTACATCTACGCTGACTCTCCCACTCGCCTCGACCCCCTGGGCTGCAGACCCATGAGAGTTCCCAAGAGTTTTGACGGCGACTACAGCACCCACGAGCCTCTCAACGACAAACCTGTCGTCTTCCAGAATGTGTTGTGGGACCTGGATGACAATCCGTCCAAGGAGTCGAGTGTATAGCGTCACACTGTCACCTGTTACCGTGGCGCTACAATAGTTTATACATTAGCTGGTAACGATCTGCCGAGGGGTAAAGAGGGAATCTGGTGGGAGGATGTTTGACCGAAGTGTTCTGTTAAAGGCTACAGGTCAAGGTTGCCTCGTCAGGGTATGCAACCAACCCATTAAGACTAAGCTTGTCAGTCTTAATGGACCCGCTGGGACCCATTTTACCAGTCAACGTTTAATTATGCCACAACAAATTACCTCTTTATCCTGAATTTTTGTTTTTCATGTCGGACTTTCGTTAAGCTGTGTTAAACAATAATGAATTCTAGTTCATATCATCGTGTCTCATACTAAGATTTAAGAGGACACACACCAATAGACGGACGCTAGCTAGTCTAAGTTATTCTGTTGAGCCAGATAAACAACTTGCCTTACCATCAGAGAACATCGTACGACCACAACGGTTCGTCATACTAGGGAACTTGATCCTTTAATTCCGCAAATTCTGGCAGTAAATGTTTTTACTTTAATAAGAGTATACCAGGATATGTTTACACCTCAGGGTGTATTCATGTGGGCGCTTGTCCGTCCGTCCGTCCCTCCGTTCGTACAAACCTGAATAGGCCCTCTTGCGTCCCACCCGGAGTTGTTAGTAGGATTGTGTTATTATTACCCAGTGTAGAGCAGTGGAATTTATAAGGGTTTTTATATGCGTCTTTGGATTTATCTGCTAAGAGTTTTCAAGCCATTTTCTTCTGTTTTTCGTCACCCTACCGAGGCTCCGTCGGCTGAGTCCCTAAACCAAAGATCCCCTCTGGCTCTGAGGATGGGACAGTACAATACAGTGCAGTATACTGTACTGTAGCTTGAGTATTTGGCCCAGTCAACGGATCTGTAATTGTTTAGCAAGTACCGAGCCGACAATTTTCTTGTCGGGGAACACCACTCACTTTATATATATATATATATATATATATATATATATATATATATATATATATATATATATATATATATATATATATATATATATATATATATATATATATATATATATATATATATATATATGTGTGTGTGTGTGTGTGTAAAAGTTTATTTTAATGTCGTTTATTACCACGTAACTTTACTCAGTTTTAATATGATTCTATTCTATTTTATTAATGATTATTCCAACTTCTTATCTGTATGACTACATTTATGCACACAATGTAATACTGTATATGTAAAAAGCAAAATGAGAAATAAAAATACGGCACTAATACAGTGTTTTAGCCCGCCACTGCCTCGGCTTTTATGATTAATTTTATGTTTTCCTCATGTTATTTTGTTGTAATGATCTCTGACCTTCACTGCTTGAGAAAATGTCCCAGAAATTGAACAACAACTAAACTAACCCAAAGTAACGATTTTTTAAAGACCTTCAATAATAAAAGCCCAACTGAACCTTAATAATAATAATAATAATAATCAGAGATTTTAGAGAACCACTGGTGGATAACCTGTCTTTTTCTTGTCATTTAAAATCTACTTCTTGAATTCCTAAACTAGTTAAATATTAGGCTGTTTTGTAAGCGCTGGCTGGGACCAGGCAACATAACATCAGCTCTGGAAATTTTGATGCGAAGATACCAAAAAAAAAAAAATTGGGGGGAATAGGATAAGTAAAGAATAACACGAGGAATGAGAAGTAAGAAGTAACGGATAAAATGAAAAAAAGTAATATAAGTAAAGGGGAAGAGAAAGGATAGCTTTATGTCAGAAGTTATTGTTTGTCATGTTTTTCTTTTTTGGGGGGTGGGGGGGGGGTTAGCTTCAGGCAGCCACTGAAGTTCATTATCGGATCCTCAAGTAAGAGGGAAATTTGACTTCCGAGTCTTGGAGAATCTTACTATCGTCCTGGAAGACCCTGCCAACTTTTATCGTAACTTCTACTGGCTGCCACAGCTCTCTCTCCATCCTGTCAAACTAACCCCCTGGCCTGCCTCACTATCTCTCCATCCAGCCAAACCAACTTCCTGCCCTGCCTCACTATCAATCTATTCTGCCAAACTAACCCCCTGGCCTACCTCCCTATCTCTCTATCCTGCCAAACTAACCTCCTGGCCTACCTCCCTATCTCTCTATCAAACTAACCCCTGGCCTGCCTCTCATCTATCCTGCCAAACTAACCCCTGGCCTACCTCCCTATCTCTCTATCCTGCCAAACCAAACTAACCCCTGGCCTACCTCCCTATCTCTCTATCCTGCCAAACTAACCCCTGGCCTACCTCCCTATCTCTATGCCATAATCCCCTGGGCCTACCTCCCTATCTCTCCCTGCCAAACTAACCCCTGTACCTCCCTCTCTCTATCCTGCCTAACCCCCTGGCCTGCCTCACTATCTCTCCATCCAGCCAAACCAACTTCCTGCCCTGCCTCACTATCAATCTATTCTGCCAAACTAACCCCCTGGCCTACCTCCCTATCTCTCTATCCTGCCAAACTAACCTCCTGGCCTGCCACGCATCTCCTATATCCTGCTCTCATATCCTACCGAATCCCCTTCTTAACTTTCCCTCCAGTCTGCAAGTCCTTCATAGCATCTTACAGTGGTTATGTGTTACAGCCGAGGCGGAGTACCTGACGATGCAGGGAGGTATCACGGCGGGTACGGTGCTGGCGTTACTGCTGCCCGTCCTCATCGCCATGCTCTGCTACGCCTCCTACGTCCGCAACAAGCACAAGCACAATTACCAGGACAGTGACTTCATACGCAGCGGCAGTCGTAGGATCAATAACTTCTTCAATAAGGCCAGGTAGGTAATTGCAAGGTCACTAACTCCTTCAATAAGGCCAAAAGCACCTTGTAGCAGGATTAACATCTTCTCCAATAAAGTTAAATACGTATATTTTTTCTTCAGGGACGTTAGGTTCATACACAGACGCATTAGTAGACCAGTAGGCTAATCATATATGAAAGGGTACACAGAAAAGGGTCAAAGGAGATTTAGTTGACAAGTTCACATTGATTCAGCATGCACTGTATATAGACAATACAAGTATACAAACGGATATAGACAGTGCAGTTATACAAGCAATGGTAAGGTAAGGCATGTGTAATCTTCCGTTATGCTCTTCATTGCTTTACTCACTAACCCTCCTCATCTGTACTTCTCGTCCCCATCAGGAGAGACAGCTCACCAGAGCCTCGACCCGCCATCCACCTTGGTGGACGAGGCGACTTAATGGTTGGTGGTGGTAGTGGTGGTGGTTCTGCAACTCCTGACACCCATCATAGTGACGACACTCAAGTCTAGGGTCCTCACTACACCTAGATTCTAGGGCTTCGGCAACGAGTCATGAAGGAACTAACATCATCTTGAGGACCATCGTGTTATAAGGAAAGTGCTAGATTGATCACCGAGTTCCTTGGCGTCACCACGTAGCTCCTTGTGTTATCAGAAAGGCATTAGATTCATCGCGGAGGTCCTGGTGTCTCCCCTAGTATCATCACAACGTCTCTGAGGTCATCACACAGGCCACGGAGTCATCACGATGACCATATATTTATGGTAAAGACCGCAGCCTTAGGAACAACACAAACCTATATTTTACTACCAATTCGGGTTTTTAGTTCACCATTGTCCTGGTCGTGTTAATGTTGTCGTGTTGTTTGTTCACCTGGAGACGTACAGTATATGTAGGAGGATGGTGCCATCAGCCCTCCTCATGTTACTCACTCTAACGGTAAATTCGTCTCTAATGATTGATTGGTTTTATAACTATTAGATGATTATCAGATTATTTTTCAAATTTGTGGAAACATTCTAGAAGACCGAAGACTTTTATATTACAATTATTTTTAGTATTAGAATTATTATTTATATTTTTATCATTATTATGAAATCATTATTTGCCATTTGTAATTGCATGAAGTACAAAACATACCTTTAAAATAAATACTGAACAATTTTGCATGTTATGAATTTTTTTATGCTACATTTTCTATATTTTTTTTAGCTTGGGACATTTTTTGTGGTTGAGTGAGTGACGAGATGTGAAGACAATAGTTCTTCTTTATCTATAACCATCATCATCAAGTTGGGTGTGACGCATGTCTCTGGATATGTCTTGTGTTGCATTATCATTGTTATTTTAGAGTAAGGCTTGATTGTTTAAGTGCTACTATGATGAATGTTCCTTTATATAGCAGACGTCAATGAGTTTTATTTCAGCGTAATCATTGGGTGGAATCACGTGGGGTGTTGTGTGTAAGAATTAAGCAAGGAGTCAATTTGTCATAAAATTACAGATCACAGTAAATGGAATATAATATTAAAATTTCCGAATGACTCACTTAAACATACTTTACCTAACCTGATGAAACCTAATCTGACCTGACCTAACTTAGCCAAACTAAACTTGGTCCAACCCAACCTACCCTAAGTAGTTTAGGATATATCTGTTAAGACTCCATTGGCATTGTTCTTCAAATTTACTATAAAATAAAATATTCCGCGTTAAGGGTACTTAAACTCTTTTGAAAAAAATATATATATACATACTGTATATTCAGCATCCCTTTCTTTAAGCCAACAGTATGTCAGTTTATTCCTGTAAGAATATTATAAAACGTTCTTGTAGGTTTAATTTTTCTGTTGCTCACAAATGAATTCCTCGCCTGATTTTCGTGTATTTCTTTTCACGGAATACAAAATACTTAAGCTAAATGTTGAAATAAAATTCGAGAAAGTTTAACTTGAACGAACATTTACCAAGTTTACGTTAGATCTAAGTAAGGAGAAGTTATACATATATACAGATGTAATTGTGTACTTTACTGTATGTTTCTGAATGTAAGAATATTACATATACGGTATATAGCGAGGGTACGACACCACACACACACACACACACACCCCGCGCTGTACCAACACTAACAGTACAGTACTTGCAAGCAGGGTCGCCTTACATCAAGCCTAGTAAACACTCAGGTTCTTACGATGAATATTCCTCATAAGTGAAGAAGTAAAGATGCGCCTAACTGGTCAACTTTAGCTAAAAATCAGAACTTGAAAAGAAAAATAGCGTAAAATTTTAAGTACATATATGTACTTAACACCAGAAAATGTAATGTACAGATTCCTTCCAGAGTTTTTCAAAGTTTATTTTAATGTAGTTTTTTTCTTTATTTTATCCAGTTAAGTATAATTCTCACATTCCTCAGTTACCAGGAACCACTGAGAGTCACTACCCTGGACCCCTCCCTATTAGTCTTTAGTGGCCTCGGGACCCTTGCAGACAAAATAATAATAATTAATGTCATATGTAAAAGAAAATTGTTTGAAATGACTCGAGGTTGCCCAGTACACTATAGCTATTTTTCCCCTGTGATAAAAATGTAAATATGTTATAAATTTCAGAGGCCATCAATAGTGAAGCTCGCTTGTAAGATACGTCCTTCAGTGTTGTTTTGTTTATCATCTGGGTCTTGTCCTTGGTCACTGTTCGTGTTCTTCTGGCAGTAAGGGAAGTCGTAATTACTTAATTTAATTAAAATTAATTCTTCTCTACAATGTTCCCACTGACAAATTTAGATTTAAGCGCGAGATAGGTAAACACTGGTTTGGATATAGAGTAGTGGATGAGTGGAACAAGTTACCAAACATCATCATTAACTCGAACACGCTGGGAAGCTTCAAATATAGGTTGGATGGATATATGAGCGATAGGGGTTAGGTGTAAACGGGGTTGTCTAGTATGGGCCAATAAGCCCGCTGCAGTTTCCTCTATTTTTATGTTCTTATGATGCTAGTAAGGTACAATAGTGTTACATCAGGCGTTCCTTTCCTCAACTACCCACCCAGTAGTATAGCATTAGTTTATGTATTTTTATGAATTTCACATACCAACACTGTACATTTCGTAATAAAATAACTTAATGACATTATAATTATTTCATAATCCC